AAGAGGAGGGGAAATATTTCCATACTCCTCTTTAGCTTTGACATTACTTCAAAAAACACTTATGGCCTGTATTACTGTAAAGTGCTTACTGTCTTGTGTAATGTTGTTGATGTGCTTATAGGTGCAAAACAATGGGTCTTGTTTCAACAAATACACAACTTCAAAGCTTAGTGTGAATTTACTTTTTGTTGACATAAACTGTGGCCTTAGTTATATTCTTAAGACATAGCATGGGAAATTTTGAATTTACACAGGTGAGCTTATGTGCTGAGATAATGAACTGTGTTGTGATCCCTGGACTACTGCAAAAATAAGACACTGGTGTGAGATACATACTTTGTATGTTGTCTAAGTTGAGATGTAAACTTTAAGCCTGTGTTCTGGAAGCCTGTACAGCTTTTTCAGGGATCCTTGAGATGTATGAAAAAAGTATACATCTTTAAGCTCATACCAGTGGGGCTGTATTCTTGCCAGATTTGCAGTTTTAAAAAGGACAACCAGGATGCCTCAGTAAAAGAAGACATTTCCATTTTTCCATTTAAGTGTTCCTTAATCTGTAGCAGGACATGCTGTGAGAATGACATTTGGGGGGTGGGATAAGGTCTTATTTAATGATTATCTATAAGGATGGCTTAATAGTGTCTGGGTTTTACTTGTCTTGAGTGCATCTGTCCTCACCCACTCGCTAACATCTGTTCTAGAAGATGCAGCTGATCTTTATAAAAAAACTCTTTGTGAAAAGCTGTTGTGCAACTTTCCCTGCCCTTCTCTTGGTACCCCATGTAACAGCTCTGTTTCTCCTTTAATGTGACTGCTTGCACTGATGGCGGTCTTATTTTTTTCCTTTAAATTTTGTTCTGTGCAGTTTTGTTTATTAAATTATTATTGTGTAACCTTCATTTAAAAGGATGAGCAGGCGCTACCTCAGGAATTCTTCATTCCATGAAGACAGAATTGCTAAGGAAATTCATGTCAAGCCAAATATCTCAATAGTCCATCATCTTCTGGGACTGGCTTTTTCCATGCCTCTTCTGAAGCACACTGGCTTGCTGTCTTTAGCTAGCTCTCTCCTTAAGCAGCTTAACCTTCCCTTGCCTGCTTGTTCCCTCCTGGCTCTCTTCCCTGGAACCTGATGCATCTAGGTGTTTCTGCTATGGGGTAGCCAAAGTTTAATCTTTGTCCATGCAGTAATGGGAAAGGATCATGTCATAGGAAGGTCAAGCATAGTGTGTGGATGATACAGAGGGGAGACAAAGATACTGCTGTGTGATTACACAATAGATCAGGAGATGATTAGGAATGCTAAACAGTTCTTTTAATGAGCTAGGAAGGAATTTATGTTCCTGAAGATAATGCTTTTAGTGTTAGCTGAAAGATATGTCAACATACTGGAGCTTGAATACAAGCATTAAGGAGATTTCATTCTGTCACTGCCATAATAAAAATATTAGCAGTTAAGTGTTGGGGTTTTTTTTCTCTTGTGTTTTTTGGCTATTTTATCATGGAGGTCCCTTTGGATCTATTTATCTTTGTAAGCTAAGAATAGAATCTGGAAGTACATACTTTGCAGATGAATTTTGAACTCAAAGTATGAAAGTTAGAAGTTCTACCCTTAAGCCTTATAAACACTCATTATACCAACATACTCTTCAGAAATAGTTAATTGGCTGCAAGAAACAGGTTGAAGAGCCATGTAGCCAGCTCTATTTATCATGCTACTGCCAGAGTGACATGATGGTGCAGAGGGCACCAGAGAGACCATCCCTAATTGGGACACCTGGGAACTTGGTTGTTCATTTTTGTATAGCAGTAGCAGTCAGCCTTTTCAAAGAACCCCTAAAATCACCAGCTTTCTGTCTATTTATGCTTCTAATCCTGAAATTTTGAAATTTGCTTAGTGGCCAAAAATGGCATGCAAGGTGAAATGCCATTGAGGTTATTGTTAAGTCCTGCTTCACTTAGCCTGTTTGTAACCTTTGTTGGAGCATCTAGGTGTTACCTGCCGGTTGGCCACAGAGCCCAGGAGCCTTCACGAGCACCACAAGCATCACAACATAGCATCTTTGGTGCCCTGAGAGCAAAGGAGGTTCTGTGGTGCTCTGAGCATGCATAACTCCCACTGCTTTTCAGGAGATGCGGATTTCTATGCACATGAAGGGCTCTTTAGCACACTTATGTTTTAATTTTTTTAACCAGTTTATATACTGAAATTTACTGCTGTATGTCATTCCAAATATTAGTGCATTAAATGGAGTCTTTACAGTGTGAATGAAGAAAAAGTGGTAATGCCATTGTAGCTCTTTTGGTACAAATAAGATTTTTTCCTTATTGCTTATGGCTCACTGCTACAAAAATACATTTTATGTGAACTCCAGGCAAACCATTTCCTTCTTCTGGGATGAGGCAAAGTCAAAGCCGAGTCAGTGCTATACAGGATGGTATTTTGGAAGACACCTTAGCATACAGATGCAGTTAGATTTGGACTTTATGAGACTGCTACTACCATTATATAGTCATATATTGCCTTTTATTTAAGGAATTGTTATCCTGAAGATCTGTAAAGTCCAGAGTGGCCAAGGCTTTGTCAAAACCATGACACTACATTCAAAGGAACAAAGCTAAATAAATGCATATTTGAATTAGGAACAGATATTTATACATAGTAGGAATAACCTGTAACTTTTCTTGAGATTAGGATTGCATCTCAAACTCGTTACAGTTATACATATGCTAGAAAGAAAAGGAAAACATGCTTTAAGCAGCTTTTTATATGTATGCTTAACTTCTGGAAATCTAACGTTTCTGTCTCCTAAAATTACATGCTCATGAGCAAAACCCATACAGCAACTTCCCCTTCTGCAGAATCCTAGGTACTGAGTGTTATGGAACACAGATGATGGTTCCTGGTTTTGAATGTTAGCTGAAATTCTCTTACACTATTAAGATTGCATTGCTGTGTCATTAGCAGACAGCAGTGAGTAAGATCACACAGAGCTAGGTGCAGTGATTTTCAGACTTGCATATAGCTGCTTGCTAATGGTATAAAGCTGGAGACTCTCCATGCTTACAAACGGTGTAATTGATCATTCACTTTCACATATTGCATTTATTACCCTACTGCTTCTAAGCGCTGAGGCCAAAAAAGCCGATAGCCCAGGACCTTCTGAGTCTGTTTTTACTCACCCCTTCAGTAAATAAGTAAATTGAGTTTATTAATTAAGTATAAGGCTTAAGAATGGTACTTAATAAAATTGATTGTACTGCCAAAGAGGTCCCAGAAGTAGATGTTAAATGGAAAACAAATCATCTGAAGATCACCAACAATCCAGGAGAAGTGGAGAGAAAAAGATTTAGTCAAAGTACTGAAAATAGTATGTTCAGTTTTTCAATGTCTTTATTAACAAAATGATGGATAAAGGAACTTCAGGGAACAAAAGTCCAAAACCATCTGAGACAGGACTAGGCTCAGATTGCAGATTGCCACCCTGTGTTCACTGCTTAAATCACCAAAAATGAGCCAGATACTTTTAACCTTGCACTCTGGCAAGCACCTAGGCAGTACCTGCTTCGCTGTGCCACCACCAGAGCAGCAATGCTGAGTTTTGTGGTTCCTACGAGCAATCACAACAAAATGTAACAGATCAGAGTCTCCCCCATTGCCTTTCCCCTAAACAAGTGAAAAATGACCCAAATAAGAGGATTTTTCTGCTGCAGATTAAGCCCAGCATTGTTAAGGTTTGGCTTCAAGCCTAGCATTGTTGTAGAAAACTTTTGCACCCAGTTTATGAAAAACTAGTCAGGCTTCATATATTTATTAACTTCACATTTGTTAAAAAAATGTAGCGTCACAATA